ACGACATTAAAGCGGGAGAAAGGAAACGAGGTGAGAGGTGAGCAGCAGGCACCCCGGCCCCCGGCCCTGGTCACACCCCTGTGGAAGAGAAGCACTCGCCTTTCCAGAGTGTTCCGGGGGCTTGGGGCTGAGCCGCCGGGCAACAGAAAGCCGGCTTTGGCCTGGTTGTGAATTTTTAAATGTCATCATCATAACGTTATTTATTTAAATGTAGTTATTTTGGTATTTAATTTTTTTTAAAGAGAGGAAAAAACCCTGTATTTTCCTGGTGGAATGAAACGGCTCAGAATGGTATATTTAGGCAATTTTAAAACATTTATTATTTACCTAAAGACCAAATATGATAAATCTGTTCTAAGTATTGTGTGTCAACCCACAGTAAGGCGCTGTCACAATGTTACTGCAGATAATGCATATTAAAAATTATGAAAGCACTGCACAGTAGCTGGATTTATAAATCAGCCATTTAAAAAATAAAACGAAACCACCGAGTGAGTGAGACCACGTGTGAGACGGTAGCGCAGTCTACCTTGCAGACCGAAGCGTGGTGGGAGCACCTCAGGGCAGCCGTCTGCATCTTCCAGGCACTTTACAAATACCTTAGAATGTATATTTTTACTTGTCTTTTTACTCAGAAGGTTTGCAGTTTGCAAAGTAACTCAGACTGTGCCGTGTCCTACGCATGGGGTCCAGACCTGTTTGTCACGGCTGCCGCAGCCCAGTGAGCTCTAAGTAGGTGCATGGGCAAGACCACCTCAGGATGCTGTACGGCCACACGGCAGCGTGCCCGTCACCGTCAAGAAGGACTCGGCCCGTTTGCCCTGCGTGAGCCCAGTCCAGCTGGTTCTCTCTGAGCCCGAAACGCAGCCTTTCGGGTCCGGAGGGGCTCCCGGAGGGGCTCCCGCCGGGGCTGCAGAGAAGTACCTTTCCCGAACTGCAGAGGCAGGGGCGCGTGCCTTCGGAGGCGAGGGCATGCCCTGCTCTCCACCATGTTCACCTGGCTCATTGAGTGGCATACAGGAGGGGGCAGGAAAAACACATGGATTAGCAAACCGCCACAGTCCAGGCACCTCACCATGTTTTCCAGTTCAGCTCTGAATTTCCAAGAGCCCTCAACACACCCAGAGTCACCGAGCTTGTGTCCCTGCTGCCCAATCGTGTCACAGCTCTAGCTGTCCGCTCTCGGTCTCCAAGTGTCTCATTTCAGGAAGTTTCTGCTGTGACCTTTGCCAAACTTCTGATCCCCCTGAGGGACTGTCAACTTCATTTCAGCAGCTTTGCCCCGAACCAAACAAAACCCAGAAGGGACGCTCACCTGTGACCACGTGGCACAAAAATCCAAGGCGGCTGCGTGACGGCTGACCGTCCTCTGTGTCGGTGGTGCCCCACACGGACAGCGGAGCTCCCAGCGCACCGCCCCCACGTCGTGCTTGCCAGAACAGGAGACGAGTGTCATGGCCACAGCAGTGGGCGGCACCAGGGCTTGGGAATTCTGTGCCGTGTGACGTGAGATGACAGTCTCCAAGCCCTGACCCCCACTAGTCTAGAAAGCATAGTGGTGATTTGTTTGCAAAGTTTTAAAATTTTAAAAGTACCAAGTTCCTGAAATCCAATAAAATATTTTTATTAATTTTAATTGAATGCAGAGTATCATTGTCATTTTGGTAAAATTGCACAGGCATTTATTGTTGTTTTGTTTGTTTGCCTTTTCACTGCTGTTTTCTGAGCAGGCCGAAGGCCCCAAGCCTTCGTGGCACTGGGCGTTGGCACGTAAGGTGGGCTTGGGTCATGGACAGTGGGAACAGCCCACGAATCGAGGTCACCAAAGGACCTGGGACAGCCATGTGGGAGAGGAAGACACTGTCTAAAGAGGCACCTGGCTCGGCTCCTCGGGCTCCTCACGCGCCCTGGTCATACAGCTGCGGGCAGTCGGCGTGGACGGCTGCTGTCCCGAGGATACCGCGTCTCAGCCCTGACCCCGGAGCATGACAGCCGTGCCCAACAAGGGGATTCGGACCGATTTCCAGCTCAGCTGTCCACGTGCTCACAGAGCCTGCAAATGCATTCGAGCCCGACTCCCCTTCTCCCAGGAAAGGCTCCTCTGGCAGCTCGCGAGGCTCCCCAGCCATGGAAGTTACACAGGTGGCAGCTGTCCCGGAGGGTGACCGACCTCTGCCCAGGAAAACGACATTGGGCGGAGCAGCCCTCCGCTTCAGGCACGGGAACAACGCGGCGGCTCTTCCAGGAGTCTGCAACGTGGCCCCGAGGGTCACCGCAGGGAAGCCCACTCCCCTCGGGCGTTTGCGGGCCACCACACTGCACCGACACCCCAGGCTGCTCCCTGCCAGCACTCACGACCCCAGTGGCACAAATTTCCTGGTTTTGGAAATGTCTGTTGGAACCCCAGTGCCATGAGCGCACTCCGCCCATGCGTCTCCCAGGGCTCACGACCCGCAGCCAGTGACAGTAAGTAAAGTGACTGGCTGACTGCCCTGAGCAAAGGGATGGGCGGGGGTTAAAACTGGAGGCACCATCAACACCCGGTCTGGCGGATGTCCCCTCTGCGTCTCCTGGCACAGACCCTAGGACAGCCGAGCGTCAGAGCTGCACAGTACGACGAGACGCCAGGGAGCTCGAGAGGCCTCGCCCTCGTGCTGGCCGGCATCCCGGGGACCCTGTGGGACACGGACCATGGGCACTCAGGAAGCTGGACCCGGACGAGACCACTTACTTGAGAAATAGCCTTGGAAAGGGCGCCTGGATCCTGGGGCGGGGGTGTTACTCTGCTTCTCTCTCACCATTTTGGCCCGACACAGGAGCCAGTCCTGGGGAGTGTGCAGCACCAAAGGGAGGCGGGAACCTGAGCCTTTCAGCCAGAGGACCCGGAAGAGGGGTCCCGGGAGACCGGAAGTCGGAGGAAGATTCCCCCGAGGCTGTGTGACATCCTGAGTTCGCCCTGAGCTGCACCGGCCTGGGACTGGCCTGAGGACAATTCACCGAACCACCTTACAGACTGGCGCCTGTTGCTGTGCACCACAGGGGCTGACGGCACGGCACGGGCCTGGGGACACTGACACCGGAACCACAGTCTGGAGGGGCGGGCCAGCACGTGCAGGCCAAGCCTCGCCAGACCGCCTGCCTGCTTAAACAGCATTCCCCAGGTTTTGAGGGGACTCCCAGTCTCGGATATAAGCCCAAACTAGTCCACGTACCAGGGCCCAGGAGGACCGCCACAGGGAAAGGAGTGGACAGGTGTCGACCTCAATGTGCCGGAAGGTCAGAGGACACATGAGAGTGTTGTGTGGCTCCAAGTAGTGTCACCATCCTCCACACAGTAAAGGCAAGTGCTCCTGAACTCAGAAGTGACTGAAATTTAGTGGATGAACAGGAAATCATTTGGGAACAAACAAACCAGGCCTTGGGGACGTTGGGACAATGTAAATGGATCTAACGTACGTGTTGGTGGATTCCCAGCACAAAAGAAAGAGACAATGGCTTAAATGAAAATTTTAAAGAAATAATGATTGAAAATGCCCCAGATTTGGTGAAAGACAAATTTAAAGATTCACAAAGCTCAACGAACCCCAGATAGGATAAAACCAGAGAAAACAACATCAAGGCACACCGAGGACTAAACAGAGGACTTTTATCTTGAAGGCAGCAAAAAGAAAGTGTCATCGTGTACAAAGTCACATTTTGAATAACTACCGATTTCTCATCACAGGCCACAGAGGCCACATGACTGGAAAATTTGAAAGGCTGAAAGTAACTCACTGTAGAATACAGTGTGCACGAAATATGAGGAACGCACATGAAATAAAGGTACTCTTAGATGAAGGAAGACAGTTCTTTACCAGTAGAGCAGTTAAAAAATGGTAAAGAAGTTCTTCAGGCAAAAAGTAAATAACGGGAACTTGGAACTTCAGAAACGAACAGAGAGATCGATAGAAATGGTAAATGCCTGGGCGAATAAACTAGTTTTTCCTCTCTAAGTTCTTTAAAACACATCTGACTTCTCAATGTAAAAATTATAACATTATAACTGAATGTAAGTGTAATATGTTGACAAAATTAGAAATGAGGAAGAAAGGTTTATGAGGTCTCTGCATTTCGCTCAAAGTGGTAAAACATTAATTCTGAAGTAGGCTGAAAAGTTTACTGTGAAGATTACCTGACGAAGATAAAATAAAAATAAAGTGGGTGCTGAATGTCCCAGTCCAGGCCGACCTCGGAGAGTCTGCCTTTGGGTGGGAGACCCCTGCCACGAAGCGAACGTCCCGATGAAGTGAGCCACACGAGTTTTTTGGTTTCCCAACACGTACGCTTACACCGTACTGGAGTCTATTGCTCGTGTGCTGAAAAGGACGCTAAGCAAACAGTGAACATACCTTAATTGAAAATTTTTTATCGCGCAAAAAAATCTACCCATCATCGGAGCCGTCACCTGCTGCCGGAGGGTCTGCCTCGGCGTTGGCGAAGATGCGGTGAGAGGAGGTGCGCCCGGGACGCAGGAGACGCAGGGCGGGGGACGGGAACGGGAGCCGGGGACACCCGCCCACTCGGGGGAGAGCGGGAAGGGCGCCTGCCCGCTTCCAGAGGACGGTTGATCGGCCGGGGCCTTTATCTTTTGGAGTGAGACTGCAGATGGGCCGTTCTCCGCCTCCCACGCGGACTGGGGTCAAGGCCACACGTAACACTGAACTGTGATTACAGGCCTTATACCATACCCCTGTACCCAATCGTGGAAAACTACGCTAAATTTGACAATTTATATAGAATGGAATAACTCCTTAAAACACATAAACTGTCGACATTGACAAATGAAGTTGAATTTGTAATTCGAAACTGCCAGCGGAGGACCCTGTAGGAGCCACGTCACGGAGGACGGCAGAGCAGCGCGCTCCAGGACCTGGGCCCCGCCGAAAACCCAGCGCACTTCGGGAACTGTGGCGCCTGCTCCGAGACCCGCACGTCCAGGTGCTTCGATACAGCAGGGCTGGCGCGTCAGTTCCGGCGCGGCACATGGTTCCTACTGTCATCCAGCCCCATGGCAGGCGGCTGTGGGGACAGCGTCCCACGTTCCCAGTTCTACTTGCCAAAGCCAGAGTGGACAACAGGGACTTTTTCCTTCCCAAGTTCACCTGCCCGGCGGTTCGCTGAGGGGCTGGTTCAGAAGCCAGTTGCTGTCTCCACCCCCACAGTGAAGCAGCTCACCTGCCAGCATGGGTTGAGGGGGGTTGAAAAAGACAGAAGAACCTTAACAAAAACTTTCTGGGTCCAGGAATGTAAGGAAGTCTCTGGCAAAACATCAGCTGAACACGGGCTAAAGGAACAGGCTTCAGTGACCACATGTGACAAGAAATACGGTCTTTGCAGAATACTTTGGAGAAGTCACTAAATAAATGGACACCTTTATCAAGCAACAACTGTAGCCCTTGGGGGGTGGGGGCCGGCATCTGATGCCCAGAGTTAACCATGCTTCAAAATCCAAAGCGTCCAGTTGTCAACAGAACTTAGAAAAAAGAAAGGAACAGGAAGCTGGGCTGCTCACGTGAAAAGGGATCGGCAGAGCCATGCTAAGGGAGCCCAGAACCCCAACTTCTTGGACGAAGACTTCAGCTTAATTGTCTTAAATACACTCGGAGAGCTGCTGGAAAGCACAGCCAAAGAACGGAAAGAAATCAGAACAGTGTATGAACAAATCAGGAAGTCAAAAGAGAGATAGAAATTATAAAAGGAACCAAATAGAAATTTTGGACCTGAAAAGTATAATAGCTGAAATAAGTTCACTTGTAGGGGGTTCAACATCAGACCTGAGCAGGCACCGGAATCAGTGAACTTGAAGAAAGGGTAATTGAAATAACCCCATAGCAGGAAGAAAGAAATTTTTTAAGTGAACAGCACCTAAGGGGCCTATAGGCTTAGCACACCACATATGTATTATGAGAATCCCAGAAAGAAAAGGGGCAGAGAAAACATTTGAAGAAATCATGGTTGAAAACTCCCCAGAGTTGAAGACATGAATCTATCTACACATCCAAGAAGCTCCACAAAATCCAAGCAGGAAAAACCTAGAAGTCCACAGCTGATAACGTGCTTAGCGGCGAAAGGCCAAGCTTGTCGTCTGAGACCTAGAGCAACACGAGAACAGTGGCTTCCACGGCTGCTGTTCCACACGTGCCGGCGTCCCGGCCAAAGCTGTGTGCCAGAAAAAAAATAATCCAGATGGGAAAGTGGGCACAACCGCCTTTATTTGCCGATGACTGTGCAGATAGAAATCCCATAGAACACACACATGCGCGCACACTACTAGAGCTAAGAAGCGAATTCCGCAAGGTGGTGGTATATAAAACCGAGACATAAACTAAACATCACTCCTGCTGCTGTGCACCGGCCGCGACCAACGCAGAAGGAAATTGAGAAACCAGCTCCATTTACCAACATCCAAAAGAACAGGACACCCCAGAGGGAGTTTAAGTGCAGAGATTAAGGATTTATAGATTCGGAACTACAGACAATTGCCAAAAGAAATTAAAAGGACCTAAATAAATGGAAAGACATCCCTATGTTCACGGGTAAGAAGATTTAGCATTGTTAAAATAGCATCGTGCCCCAAGCTGTCCACAAGTTCAGGCTCAGTA